TATGCATTAATTGGCTGTTTATTCTCATAATGATGGTGAGTGTTCCTTGCGTTACTGTTGCATAAGAACATAAGAACAAATGTAACTGCAGAAGGCCTATTGGCCCATACGAGGCAACTCCTATCTATAACCACCCAATCCCACTCATATACTTGTCCAACCCACGCCTGAAACAATCGAGGGACCCCACCTCCACCACGTTACGCGGTAATTGGTTCCACAAATCTACAACCCTGTTACCGAACCATTAACAACTACAACCCTGTTACCTGGACTATATTCCTTTTCTCTCTTCCCAAACTTCCAAAACAAAACGAAAGAGAGAGAGAGAGAGAGAGAGAGAGAGAGAGAGAGAGAGAGAGAGAGAGAGAGAGAGAGAGAGAGAGAGAGAGAGAGAGAGAGAGAGAGAGAGAGAGAGAGAGAGAGAGAGAGAGAGAGAGAGAGAGAGAGAGGAGAGAGAGAGAGAGAGAGAGAGAGACAGAGAGAGAGAGAGAGAGAGAGAGAGAGAGAGCGAGAGACAGAGAGAGAGAGAGAGAGAGAGAGAGAGAGGAGAGAGAGAGAGAGGAGAGAGAGAGAGAGAGAGAGAGAGAGAGAGAGAGAGACAGAGAGAGAGAGAGAGAGAGAGAGAGAGAGAGAGAGAGAGAGAGAGAGAGAGAGAGAGAGAGAGAGAGAGACAGAGAGAGAGAGAGAGAGAGAGAGAGAGAGAGAGAGACAGAGAGAGAGAGAGACAGAGAGAGAGAGAGAGAGAGAGAGAGAGAGAGAGAGAGAGAGAGAGAGAGAGAGAGAGAGAGACAGAGAGAGAGAGAGAGAGAGAGAGAGAGAGAGAGAGAGAGAGAGAGAGAGAGAGAGAGAGACAGAGAGAGAGAGAGAGAGAGAGAGAGAGACAGAGAGAGAGAGAGACAGAGAGAGAGAGAGAGAGAGAGAGAGAGAGAGAGAGAGAGAGAGAGAGAGAGAGAGAGAGACAGAGAGAGAGACAGAGAGAGAGAGAGAGAGAGAGAGAGACAGAGAGAGAGAGAGACAGAGAGAGAGAGAGAGAGAGAGAGACAGAGAGAGAGAGAGAGAGAGAGAGACAGAGAGAGACAGAGAGAGAGAGCTCTACTCTCAACATACTGGAGGTGACATTTTATGCAGTCGTAAAATCCTGGATGATACTTTAGTGACATTGAACTCACTTTTGGCTTGTGTATATATTATAGTTCATATATCTGGGAAATATATGACATTTTATACAAAAACAAAGAGAATATGGCACATTAATGTAAAGATATATTACTCATCCACAAACATCTGAAAGTAAAGGAGTTTACGAGGTTTCGGTCCGTCCAGGACTCTTATCAGGTCTTGACAAGACTTAATATTTTTCTGGACTTTAACGACATAAGCAAAAAAACGAAGACATCGCAAGTCAATCTTCTTGTTTGTCGTCTTTCAGAATTCTCAACTTTGAAGGGTCGTCTCAAGTTCTGACGTTAAGAGAACCAAGATTTTAGACAATCAAACTGGTCCATTTGGCAGGTATATTGACCCGAGGCACTGTGCCAACCCCCTCGTTACTGACCCGTGGTCAATAACGAGGGGTTGGTGGTGACACAGGTCAGTTACGTGGGAGTTGGTAGTCCATGGATCAGTAACGAGGGGGAAGGCCTCGTTACTGTCTATCTTCCCAGGACGTTTCACAGACAGACACTTTCAGATTGATGAAGATTAAGCCACCCAAGAGGTGGCACGGGCATGAATAGCCCGTAAGTGGTGGCCCTTTTGAGCCATTACCAGTATCAGGAGCTGATACTGGAGATCTGTGGAGGTGCGACTGCACCCTGCGTGACAGTCTCCCATAGACTCTTTCAGACCAGCTGGTCCGTATATTACTACTATTGCAGTTTTCCTTTCTCCTATTCTCTTCTAGTGTGTCTCTACATCCCGTTCTCTATGTGTCTCCACATCCCGTTCTCTCTGTTTATATCTTCCGAATAAGCTGTTTGCTTATTCAAGCCTGGCAAAAAGATATCCAGAGACATTGCAGTGGCCATACACATTGATGATTGATGAAGATTAAGCCACCCAAAAGGTGGCACGGGCATGAATAGCCCGTAAGTGGTGGCCCTTTCGAGCCATTTCCAGTATCAAGAGCTGATACTGGAGATCTGTGGAGGTGCGACTGCACCCTGCGTGACGGGAGATGTCTCCCCGCCATACACAGACTCAGACTTGGTTACAAGTGCTGCTTGGGGGTAATAAACCCAATAGTTAAAGAGTGTCACATCTGTGAAACAGAAGCAGAGGCGCCACTATTGCACTACTTACTGGAATGTGAAGCTACTGAAGCCCTGCGCATCAAACTCAACATTAATCCAACGACAGCAGCTGCATTAGATGCACATTCCACCGCGACTACAATGATTAGAAAAGCCGTTGAGGAATGGGACTCACTAGTGACCATTCTGCATCTACATCCGCCACTAAGATAATGTTAATAAAACAAGATTAAAATCAGTGCACTAAAACAGAAGCGATAAATAAACAGGGAAAACGGAGGAATCCCCTCCTCAATTTTAAACTTTGACCCCAATATAACAGTAACAAGGTTATCGCGAATAACCGAACTCAATTACGGGCTCACCATAGCCCGTGCTACATGGACACTTCGTTCTGAGTAGCTAAATCTAAAACAACAACAAGCTGTTTGCCAAACCAGAAACGGTCAAACCCAATCAACCCACCCAAACTATCGTAGCATAGAAAAACGTCAATTAAAGTAGCTTTAATTTTTACTATTACTCCACATTTTTAAAAGATTGGTTGACTATCGTAGTAAAAGCAAGATTTTAGGTAAGAGGAGAGATTGTTCTGTGAGTAACTGACTTCCTCTCCACACTACTCTTCACAGACTGTATCTCACAGACATAGTAAAGGTCACTTCTTTACTAACTGTTCAATGACTATTAAGTAGCTTAAACCCATTCTTCTAGTGCTCTTCCAGATCATATATTTTGCCTATTTACTTAACTTTTTCTCACCACCTATCTAAAAGTAATAGATCTTTCTCTTATTATTATTATTTTACCTAATTTTTTTTACACAATTTATCTTATTGTTACATCATTTAACCTAATTATTACATCATTCAAGTTCAAGTTTATTGAGAAAAGGAAATACATCTCAAAAGGATAGTAACTTAGGCTATGTCTACCTTCGTCTGTATAAGGTCCCTCAAAGGGCTCACAATCCCACACAGTTTGTGTGGGATTGTGACAATCATTAATCATATTCTACACTTCACATTCCAATGGTAATCACATGACATACTGTAAGATCTCTTATTGATCATGCTGCCCCTGTCTTGTCTTGTCTTGGTAAAGACAGACTAAACAAGTTGATTGATTGATGAAGATTAAGCCACTCAAAAGGTGGCACGGGCATGAATAGCCCGTAAGTGGTGGTCCTTTTGAGCCATTTCCAGTATCAAGAGCTGATACTGGAGATCTGTGGAGGTGCGACTGCACCCTGCGTGACGGGAGATGTCTCCTCCGTGTAAACAAGTTGGAGAAGGTACAAAATAAAGCCATGAGAATAATCCCAATATTATTCTCATGACCCAAGATATACAATTACTGAGATAATGATGATATGATTGAACTTTCAGAGTATTGGGGATAGAATTTCAGAGAAAAATGCAGCTTCGGTGATTAGACTAATGAGAGGCGAGGGAGCTAATGAACTAATCCTCTCACTTCAAAAGGTGATGACAACATTTATCTTATTCTTGCAGCACCTAATTCTTGCATCATTTTCTCGAACCTTTCGACAAAACAGGAAAACACTAAAGGAAACAAATTCAGGATTTTATTAATTTTATTACACAATATTCATACATACGCATAAGACTATATTCATAAAACCACGTCGTACAGTGAGAAAATAACAACCCAACCACCTGTTTAGAGGGTAATTATGCGGACCATCGTACATATATAGACATAATGGACAATTGGAGGCGAGGAGTCAATAACGTGGCTGAAGTATGTTGACCACACCACACACTAGAAGATGAAGGGACGACGACGTTTCGGTCCGTCCTGGACCATTCTCAGCATCGACTTGAGAATGGTCCAGGACGGACCGAAACGTCGTCGTCCCTTCACCTTCTAGTGTGTGGTCTGGTCAACATAATGGACAATTATATAGTATAATTTGGTATTATTCACTTTATATAGTTCGGTAAAAATTAAGCTAAATACACAAACTTAAATATTCCTAGGCCTAATATCACACATATATGCACTATATTAGGCCTAAGATAGCGTGTATTAGGGCTAAGAAGGTGAGGTTTAGTTATGTTTCATTAACATAAATTCATAATCTTTTCCGGTTTGTCCAAATTCAATAGTACTAAAATGTACTTTCAAATTATCTATTATGTCAATGTATGTCCGATGGTCCATAATATATCCTCCTTCTCTTTAAGATAGTATTATAAGTACTAAGTACTTTTAGATAGTACTATAAGTACTATCTATCTCTTTACTATACTATCTATTTAGATAGTACTATCTCTCACTTTTAGATATTGCTATAAGTACTATCTAATACTAGTGTATTAGTACTTATAGTACTAATGATAGTAGTCATAGTACTTATGTAGTCATAGTACTTTAGATAGTACTTATAGTACTAAAGAGAAGGAGGATTTGGACAATGAAAATGCCAGTAAATTATTTACAAACACATGTTACTTGTGTTTACAAAGGTAACAAAGGGGAAGAATAATAGCCTTTTTAAGGCAATCGTTCTTACCTTAACAAGGCTTGTAATAATTAATTAAATTAATTAAATTATTAATTTCTAATTAATGACCATAATTAAACTTGAAACACGTGTGATTGTACACGAGGGGGGGGGGGGCAATCACCATTACATAGAGGCACCACCACCATTGTTATTGTCACTAATACCGAACGAAGCACCACCACTGCCAACACCAGTGGTGGACGAGGACGCACCACCACTGCTAACACCACTGGTGGACGATGAAGCACCACCACTGCTAACACCAGTGGTGGACGAGGACGCACCACCACTGCTAACACCAGTGGTGGACGAGGACGCACCACCACTGCTAACACCACTGGTGGACGAGGCAGCACCACCACTGCCAACACCACTGGTGGACGAGGCAGCACCATCACTGGTGGACGAGACAGCACCATCACTGGTGGACGAGACAGCACCATCAGTGGTGGACGAGGCAGCACCATCACTGGTGGACGAGACAGCACCATCAGTGGTGGACGAGGCAGCACCAGCACTGCTGGACGTGGAAGCTCCACCACTGCTAACACCACTGGTGGACGAGACAGCACCATCAGTGGTAGACGATGAAGCACCACCACTGGACCGGTCATCAGCAGTTAGAGGACGAGACATGGCATGCGTCTGGCCGAGGACGAAGCCCCTGACGGTGAAGCCAGGAGCTCCAGCGACGACCACGACGGGCTCTGGTGGTGGAGCCTCTTGGGAGAACATCTCGCTGACCTCCAGCAGCCTGTACACTGAGCTCTCAGACATAAACCGTCGCCTGTTGGTGTTTCGCCGCCTCCTGTTGGCTGTGGTGGTGGATGAGACGTTTCGATCACGCCTCCTGCCGGGGATCACTATGGGCTGCGAGGTGGCGTGACTCTGGCTGCTCTCCGACGACGACGTGTCGTTAGGGGCTTGGACCACTTCCTCTGCGTTCTCTTCTTGTCTCATGAACGGCTGAATTTCAAAAGTTCAAATTACAACAAAATTATGGCCATAAGATTGTAGGCCTACACTAGACAGCTCCCACGTAAACCCAACATAATACACGAATAATTGATAAATATTAAGCCACCCAAGAGGTGGCACAGGCATGAATAGCCCGTAAATACACGGTTGACATGTAGTAATAGGCATCCTTCAGTCTGTGAAGACTATGGAGTTGCAAAGCTTTCACATGCACTATTCATTTCTTCCCACTTTATGAAGTGAGAGGATTAGTTCATTAACTCCCTCGCCTCTCATTAGTCTAATCACCGAAGCTGCATTTATCTCTGAAATTCTATCCCCAATACTCTGAAAGTTTAATCATATCATCATCTCAGTAATAGTATATCTTGGGTCATGAGATTATTGGGATTATTCTCATAGCTTCATTTTGTACCTTCTCCAGCTTGTTTAGTCTGTACCAAGACAAGACAAGACACGGGCAGCATGATCAATAAGAGATCTTACAGTATATCATGTGGTTACCATTGGAATGTGAAATGTAGAATATGAATAATAACTGTACTGTGTGGGTTTGTGAGCCCTTTGAGGGACCTTATATAGACGAAGGTAGACATAGTTACTCTATCCTTTTGAGATGTATCTTACTGTCTCAATAAACTTACTTGAACTTGAAGAACCTAACTACTAACCTAAGATTCGAAATGTAAACAAATATGACAAACAAACTTTTTTGAGTGTACAACAAACTGTTGTACACTCAAAAAGTTCACTGTCTCAATAAACTTACTTGAACTTGAAGAACCTAACTACTAACCTAAGGTTCGAAATGTAAACAAATATGACAAACTTTTTGAGTGTACAACAAACTGTTGTACACTCAAAAAGTTCACGTACTTAGCACCACCACTTAGAAAACACATTTCTATTGGAATTCAAGTTAGCACTACCAAAATTTAAACACAGTTCACACAAAGGTAATCTGTCTAAAGGCCTAAATATGCAATTCTAGGCGTAACATATGCAATCTTAGGCCTAATTTAGCACATATATGTACTGTAGAAAATGAATAATGCAAAACAGATTTGTTACTACAACTGTCCATATTTTGAGCATGAATCCATACAACCTATAGGTACTACAATCGATTGTAGTACTACAATCGATTGTAGTACTACAATTTGATTGTAGTCAAATTGCAGTACTACAATTTTATTTTGTACTACAATTTGATTGTAGTCAAATTGCAGTACTACAATTTGATTGTGGTGACAGGCACCACAATCAAATATAACGTTTGTAACACTTCAAAAGTCAAAAACCACTTGCCTTTAATACCATTGTCTTCAACTGACAGAATAGTGAAGCTATTTTAGTGAAGAATAGTTTTCTATCCTCTTATGATCGTCTATTCGGAAGAGAGACCGTGGACCAATCCTGCTGTTGCTACTGGTGTTATGTGTGTACTGATTGAGGCAGCTGTGTGCCCGATATTAGTGAGCATGGGACAGCTTGGCTCGAGTGAAAGAGGTGGGTGAGGTGGCACGGGCATGAGTAGCCCCGTAAGTGGTCAGATGTTTGGAGTGAATGTGGTCATCAGTCGTCAAAGGATGTTACTGTTGTTGTTTTAGATTTACCTACTCAGAAGGAAGTGTCCATGTAGCACGGGCTATGGTGAGCCCGTAATGGTGGTAGGCTAGAGAAAACGTCTCTTATATAGTCAAGGTATAGTCAGGGACCCCTGTTACGGGCTATTCGTGCCTGTGCTACCTCATGGGTGCCTTAATCTTCATCAATCAATCATGATGGCAAAGGCCAGACTCTGTAGGTATAGTGAAGAGCCTACTTACATTATAATTAATAGTTCATTGTATCGGGGGACAGGCAGCCAGTGTATACATACAGTACATGTTAGGCTTATTGCAAGATCCTTTCCCCTACCCCACGCTAATTCCTAATTCTAAACTATCCAACTTATAAACAAATCAGCATAGCAATTTATTCTATAAATCAACAACCTAATTCCTAACACAATAGTTTCTGAATTATAACTTATCTATTGATTCATGTTCTATTTTGTTTTATTATATTTAACACATTATTATCCCCATATGTTAGACGTATATATGGATATATATATATAAAATGTTAACTATTTTCTATAGGCTTATAGGCCTCGTATGGACCAATAGGCCTTCTGCAGTTGCCTTTGTTCTTAAGTTCTTATGTTTTGCAGTTTCCTGTATTCATTCTTTTTACAACTTTTCTCCCTTACTCTGTACCTTTCTATAAGGAAAATTGAGCTTTCCTAATTGATCTTTAATATGTGAAGTTTCTCATTCCTGGAAATAACTCATCTTTCTTTGTATGCACTCAAGTGAAGTTATATCCAAAACCAAAATCTGCATTGGAATTCAGATGTGAATGGTTGCATGTTGACCAGACCACACACTAGAAAGTGAAGGGACGACGACGTTTCGGTCCGTCTTGGACCATTCACAATCGACTTGAGAATGGTCCAGGACGGACCGAAACGTCGTCGTCCCTTCACTTTCTAGTGTGTGGTCTGGTCAACATATTTCAGCCACGTTATTGTGACTCATCGCCTGCATCTGGATGGTCGGATGTTAGATCATATAGCCTACATGTGAAGTAATGGAATGATCGTATGAACTACATACGACCGGCTCACTACATTAGGGAGCCGGTCGGCCGAGCGGACAGCACACTGTACTTGTGATCCTGTGGTCCTGGGTTCGATCCCAGGCGCCGGCGAGAAACAATGGGCAGAGTTTCTTTCACCCTATGCCCCTGTTACCTAGCAGTAAAATAGGTACCTGGGTGTTAGTCAGCTGTCACGGGCTGCTTCCTGGGGGTGGAGGCCTGGTCGAGGACCGGGCCGCGGGGACACTAAAAGCCCCGAAATCATCTCAAGATAACATAGGGTGTACGGACCAATACACCTTCTGTAGATCCTTGAATAATTTTACTCTAATGATTTGCATAGGATAGGAGGGTTCAGTGAGAGGGCGGCTATTAAATGTCTTCCAGGAATTGGGGGATGCCATTAGCAAAACGGAGAATATTGTGGCTGGTAATGGGATTAGTCTCATTATTTGCAGGGACAACGATTTAGGAAGAGATGGGAAGCGATGACCGAACCACACATTGCAAAGTGAAGAAACGGCGATGTTTCGATCCGTCCAGGACCATTATCAAAACGAGTTTTCGGTCCAGGACGGACCGAAACGTCGTCTTTCGGTCCGAAAGAGTTAGGGGTGACATGATAGAGGTTTACAAGTGGATGAATGGACACAACACAGGGGATATTAATAGGGTATTAAAAGTATCAACACAAGACAGAACACGAAACAATGAGTATAAATTGGATAAATTAAAATTTAGGAAAGACTTGGGTTCGGTAACAGGGTTGTTGATTTGTGGAAACAATTACCGCGTAACGTGATGGAGGTGGGGTCCCTCGATTGTTTCAAGCGCGGGTTGGACATGTATATGAGTGGTATTGGGTGGTTATAGATAGGAGCTGCCTCGTATGGGCCAATAGGCCTTCTGCAGTTACCTTTGTTCTTATGTCATCATATCTTCAGCCACGTTATTGTGACACATCGTCTACACTAATGGGAAGTATTAACAGCAAATGAGTTAATTACATTTAAGAAAGGGATTCCTAGCACAATTAACATTCTTCCGAGAAAGGAAGTTCGAAATTAATAAGTTTCTAGGGCATTAGTTCATATGTGGTGGAGGTGGGGTTCCTTGACCGCTTCAAGTGTGGGTTGGACATAAATATAGACCCCACCAGTTACAGCCCCCAAGTCATTGTCCTCCACTATCCCTTGCATATGGCCCTTGGCCATCTCGAAAGGCTGAACTATGTGGTGTCAGCAGAGAGATGCCAAGTACGAACCACAAAACAGGAAACTCGACAAGTCCTTCTCACAGTAAGAGGACGGATCCCGGAAAAGCTTGACCTTGGAATCTGGGGGGTGTTCCAACACAGGCCTTACACCCCAGAACCCCTAAGATGCTTTAGATGTCAGAGATTTGGGCATCACAAAGATGGCTGCCAACGCCCAGTGAGGTGCGGAGTCTGCAGCCAGTCCCATGATACAAAAACATGTATTGATAAACTCAAGGCAAACCACCCTGTTCAGGCAAAATGCCCAAATTCTTCCAAGGCACATCATGCCTGGAACTTGAAATGCCCTGAAAGGCTCAAAAGGCTTCAAACGAACCCCACCACGCCCACAGCGGAGCCGAAACCCCCACCAAAACTAATATCAGCTCCCCTGCCCACTAAAACCGCGTGGGGTCTACCCATTCAGGAAGAGGGGGCACACGGCCCTTCACCATCGGCCATGGTGAAGTGTGAGAAGACAGTACAGGACAAAAAGAAAGATGGAGGACACAAGAATCATGTTCAAAGCAGTCGGCCTCCCATTTCATCCAAGCACACTGGGGCCAATAGGAGTAGCAATTCCAGTGCCAAAGTTACCACCGAGAAGGGTCTAAAAGCCACTAGGCCCTCAACCTGCACAACATTAAATAGTGCTCCCACTGAACTGAACGCTCTCTGGCCAATGCTCAAAACTTTAGTCACTGAGTTGATCGAAAGTCTGCTGTCTTCACATGGAATCAAGCAAACCACAGAGACTCGGAAGACAATTGAGCACAAGCTCAAAAAATTCGAAGATGTAATATCCACACCGTCAAGACAGCAGGGCAAGAGGCACCCCCATAAAAAGCAAATAGAGTCCAGCTCGTCGGAAAGCGACATTGATGAGGCAATTTCAGGTCCACTAAGAACCTATACCCCAATTGCAAATTCCATGGCGTGTTCATCAGACTCCATGAATACCACGGAATTATCAGCACATTCCAAGAACCTAGAATTCTAAAGATCCTGCAATGGAATGCGCAAGGACTGCGCACTAAATTGCAACACTTGCAATGCATAGCAGCAACCAAAGGCATAGACATCC